ATCCCCGCCCCGCGGCGCTCCCCCTCGGCGGGCGGGCGGCAGCTCCTTCCTACCGCCGCGGGGGTCCCGGCACGCACGGCCCCGCCGCCATTTCGCATGAGCCGCAGCCGCGCGCCACTTCCGCCCCGACCGGGAACCTCTTCCGGGCCCCGCCAGAAACCGGCTGCGAGCCGGGGAGGAGGGAGGGCGCCCCCTGCCGGGGGTCTCCATGGTGACGGCGGGAGTGCAACCCCCCCCCCAAAAAAAACCCAGGCCGAGCGCCCATTGGGTGGAGTGAGTCACGTGGCGGGTCGGGGGAGGGAGTGGATTGTCTGGGTTAGGGTCGCGGTCCGCCTCGGAGTCAGGGCTTGGCCTGGGAGTGGATTTGGGTCCGTACAGCCCGCGCTCTTGCGCTGGTGTCACTCGTTTCGGGGCCCAGCTTGACCCGCCCCTGGCGCAGCAAAGCCTCTTCCTGCGGCCAAACCCCGGTGCCCGTCACCTGGGTCTGGGCTCTGCTAAGGGAAAGGGGTGTTTCTCCACGTTAGTCTCCCCTAGCGAGCAGGCAGGGCACTGGGGTGCACCTCCGTAGACTTGACTGCATAAGACGGGGGGGGCAATTATTTTGGGCGGAGCGCCGCTTACTGAGTTTTGGCAAGCCATCGAGGGCTGCTTGACAGGCAGTCAGAGGCAGGTAAATATTAATTTTCGAAATGTTTTAGCGGCCCTGCAGGCCGAATAGAATAGCCTGGCAGGCTGCATGTGGCCCATGGGCCGCATTTTGCCCACCCTTGGCATAAGATATGACTGAGCTCAGTCAAGGCGTACACTCAAGAGAAGGGCAGACAAAGCAGTCCAAGGACGTCCTCAAGGCCCACTTGAAAAAATGCAGCATCTGCTCCTGGGGGACTATCACCCAGTGTGGCCCCCCAAACGGAGGAAGAGTCAGTTGTGAGGATCTTGGTACTTTGAGACCTCACAACAACAGTGGGAAAAGTGGGAGCAGCAGAAACAACGTGCCGCAGACCAAATCAAGAACCCAGAGCTGCCCAGCCCACACGGAAACATGCGCCCAAGTTGCAATCCTGAATTGGTCTTGTCAGGCGTCTTTGGACCACAGATAAGGCAGTGGTGGAAGACAATTATCCTTGACTATGAGGGTTTGCCTGTGACACAAGATATAGAGAGAGAGCACAAAAGAGCTGGCGTTGACTGCTCTTTTGACCGCATCACAGATTCACAGAAGTTTAGGGCTGGAAGGGACCTCATGAGATCATTGGGTCCAGCCTCCCTGCTCTGGGCAAGAAAGACCGCTGGGGTCAAATAATCCAGATGTTGTAAAAGGATGTCATAATAAAGCAGAGTGATTAGAATACAATAGGTGAGAAAGCGAAGGGGAGGGGAAATGCTGAAAGAACCCAAGGGAGTGAAGAGGTCACCATAGCTAACCCAGGTAATGGGATACGAATCTGTAGTCTCTGTTTAAACCATACTTAACACAGTCCAGTTTGTGGCTGATTTCTTACTCTGCAATTTCATGTTTAAGCTGTAGTTTTAAAATGTTTCTAATTTTTTTATTAAGGGACACCAGCAGGCAACTTGGATGTGGCCTACTTAGGAAAGTGCACAGAAGGGTGTTGCAGTGGCACATACTTCTGCACGACACGTGATCCACCAGGCAACTTTGAAACAGCCAGCATATGCAAAGTGTATAGATGGGAGAAATGCGGATGCTGGCTGTTTCTCCTTATTCAAAATCGGTAGTTAAACAAGTGACTACAGCTTCAAGCAACTCTATGACTTGCGTTACCAAGTGAATCTAAAAGATTTCCACAAACTGTTCTTGCAAACTGTTCTATTAAAACCCAGTCTCTACCTACTTAAAGCATAACAGACTAGGTCAGGGATGGCCAACCTGTGGCTTAAGTACTAAAAGTGGCACAGGCAAGCTGTATGTTTGCAATTGGGAGGGGACAGGCAACACTGGTGGATAGGACAAGGAGCGGAAAACATAGCAGCAGATCAGTCAGGAAACGCAGGGCAAAAAGCAGGAAACGAGGAGCAGGCTGGGCAGGGGAAAGGGATCTGAATGTCTTGCGGGGAGGCAACAGGGCTGATTTGTGGCAAACCTCCTAAAAAGTTTGGCCCCCACTGCACTAAGTTATCCTTTCCATGCACTCCTTTATTTCAAAGACTCTCCACTGGAGCAAAGTATCCACTGTTACACATGAAAGCAACTCTTTGAAGGCCACTGTAGAAATACCTGGTCACTCTAATTTCATGCCAGACTTGGTTAATGAGCTCTTTATTACACTTAACAAATTCAGGATAAATGGGCTTGGTTGCCTCCATTACCTTAAAACCAGCTAAAATACAGAGATCCTCCTGTAAGCCTCTGTGAGGTCACTGCTACATCTCCTAGATCAAGCAGAATTGCTGACCAGCCCCAGGCCTCTGTGAGGTCACTGCATTGTGCTCTGTGGGACTGGCTGATTGCCACAGCCTACAATATGAGTACTTCATAGAGATGAGCTCACTCTTCCCCCCGTTTCTACTTCATGAAAGATGTATCTTTCTTTTCCCAGTATCACCAAGAACCTGTAAAGGTGAATGAAAATTTTATCTTTTCAATCCCCCTCCCTCACCCCCACCCGCGCTTCCCCCCAGAAATGTATTTCTTTCCTTCTTAAAATGGACAAGCTGCCAGAAAAATCTGCTAGATGTTTTGGTCTGTAAGTCTTTCCAGTACTCTTCTGCTTAATGGGTGATTGCCACACCTGCTGAGGTTTAGTCAACTGATAGACTACTAAGAGCTACAAAAGAAATTAAGCCTGGAAGTAGGAAGGAAAGGGAAAAGAGCATAAGGAAAGAGGGAAAACAAAGAAAGCAAATGAGGTTGGAAGGGAGACAAACATGAATAAGGGAATGAGAATAGAAGAGAGATAAAAAGGTGGAGAGCTGCTTCAAATTTTACACAGATACAATAGTTGTTACCATACAAATCTGCTGTTGGGTCTTTTCTGAATAGTTTTATCACAGTATGTCTTGGTATAAAAAACTGAGCCTGTGTACAACTTTCATATAATGATCTGTACAGTTTATATGCAGGGTGCTTATATAAGTACTTATATAGGTGCTTATAAGTCCCTGTGCAACTTTAAACGTTAATGACTTTGGCTACTGAAAGCATAATTCATTATGTTTTTTAGCATAGTGTAAGCATTGTATAGGGTAAGGCTCATAAATGCCAATCATGAAATCACTCAGCTAGAAAATGTTTGCTATGAGTTGGAAAATCAGACTGAACGATGTATCACAAAAGATGGCAGTTATGTTGAAGTCTAGAAATTTGAGCTGTATTGTGTTAAAACTTAATGTATTATGCTTTCAGTCACCATTTACAGTTTGCTTCTATCGAGTTTACATACAAAGTTATTAAATTTAAAGTTGCACAAGGACTTTATAAACAACCTGTATTGTAACTTATATATTGCATCCTTTCTTAGTACCAGTAAATAATGTGCATGATTTAGCTTTAGTCTAATTTTTGAGACAAAGAACAAGTGCCTATGAACTTAGTCAACCAAACAGAGAAAAGAGCTCTCAAAATTAATATGGTACAGGTTTAATATATTTTTAAAATTACAATTTTTATTTAAATAACAGCCAAAAAAACCCCAAAGTTCAGTGTGTCTCAGAGAAGGGGCATACAAATCAAACTCTTTGCTCTAACCTTTTGTTTCCAAACTAGGCACATTTTAGATTTGTAGTATTTGTGTTGTGATGTTTTACAGGACAGGCTGTGGATATATTGAACAAATCCACTACAGTCCCATATCACTCATCCATTAATCACTTTAAAGAAAAGAAAATAGTATGTCCTTGTAGGCCAGTCGTCCTGCAAACACTTTTGCCTGGATGTAGATCCATTTAACCCAGAAGAACTGCATGTATGCACAATATTAATTGCACGTGTGTTTTCATGATTGGGCCCATAGCGTCTCTGGAATGCTGGAACCTTCTTTTAATCTCTTAACTGTAGGGTTTAAATTGTGTGCGCACATATTTTTCAAACCACAACTCTGTCAGGATTAGAGTTCATTTTAAGCAGGGCACTGGGTGGCTTCATAGATACAGATTCAAAACATTGACAGATGACCTTGAGAAAGGGAATCCTGTATATCAAGATTACGTCTAGTATGCACCAGAAAAAAGTTGCAATATCAGTAACCCTCCAAATGTGGATATTCTGGCAAAAAAAAAAAAAAGCCCACCTTCTTTGTCAGTGTATTTGCATCTCCACTCAGGCTTTTGCCAATAAATAAATAAACATTATAAAAATCACACTCTTGACCATTATTATATCAACAAAAGTTTCTAGTGTAGATCTGACCTTTATTCAGCTACTGGCATCTCTCCAGAACCTGGGAATTAGAGATAGGCTTGATGATGATTTTATCTTCTGCAGCCACTTGACCACTAGTTTACTAGATTAAGAATGAGCATTTTATTTCCCATAATCTCAGCAAACACCAGAAGCAGGTACTTTCATATACTACTTTTCTGAAGTGGGCTTGAATCAGTTATGGAAAGAGCTCAGTTTCAACTCTTTAAGCTATCCCTGGTGCCACTGCAAAAATGCCTGGAGTTAAAGAAAAAAGTTTGCTTAGCCATGAAGGATCAAAGTATACGTGAACTGATTTAATTCTTACATCTAGTAAGTTCTGTCATTGTGACAGCTAGAGACAACTTAAAAAGCCACTCGCTGAGTTTTATGTTTCACTACTGAAGTTGCTTCATTTATGGCACACGAATATTTTTCTGAGGCTGTCTTAAATTCAGCCAGGTGGTCCTCATAACTTTTAACAGAGGCCAGCAGCTGATCCCTCTCAACTGCTCCTAGGATGGCCTGGAGGACCACATCAATGCCTAGCCCAAGAATAGCAATTCCAATACCTCCAAGAACAGAAGCACCAATCTGGGCAAGCAGAGTGACCAGTTTGCTAACGGTATTGGTTATAACATTTGAGCCAATTAGTTTCACAGCTAACAGACCAGCAGTGGAAGTAGCTTCCCCAAGAATAATTGAAAAAACTTTGTGTGCTATTGCTATTTTCCCCACCTCTGGCTCTTTGATATCACAAAGTTTTTGGTACAGCATTGGCTCCAGTTTTTCCTTCATTTCTTTGTCAATCTTCCTGACTTCCTGTTGAATCTCACCCATGGCTTGGATGATAATGTCACAGTTTTCCTTAATGGTGCCAGTCTTTCTCATCTGGATGTGGGCAATTGAACACCCCAAATGTGCATTCAGCACGCCAATCAGTTCATTGGTGGCAAGGAAGTTAACTGACATGCAGTCAAGCAGCTCTTGGTGCAGGCGGATCACTTCTTGCCGTCTCTTTGGGTTGTCTGGGTAGAGAAGGTCACTCAGAGCCATTCTTCAGAGAACTGCTGCTGAGAAAAGAAAAGTTCTTTTTTTATATTTGAAGTCTGGGAAAGCAGGTGGGGTTTGGGTAATATGGATAACCGGCATACAGTATTCTGGATCCTTTTAACATGTGTGTTGCATTACTATAGATCTGCTTAAACTAGTTCTTGCTTAACTTTACAGTTTACATCCCCTTTATATTTTACCCAGTGAAACTTAACTGTAAGGTAATCTAGTTGGGCATAATCATGGCATGCAGGGCCAGGCCTGAACACAGGGTCACTCCGTGACCAGATCTGGCATGCAAGGCCAGATTGGGATGCCAGATTGCACCCACAGATTGACCCTGCACATTGCCTCCATGGTGGATCCAGCCTGCAGACTGTCCTCATCTACAGGATCCAGCCTGCAGACCAGCCCTGAACCACTCACCTGGCCCCCTGGACTAGAAGATAAAGCAACATGCTGCTTCAATTCTTTTAACATCTTCCCCTTACGTCTTGGGCCTAATATTTTTGTGGGTGAGTTTTAGTTTGCATTTTTTTCAAGACAAGGCTCGTGCTTTTTCATGTAGATATCACAGTGATAGACATCCTAGGAATATCTAAAATTGATAGTTAGATATTTCCTCCTACTCAGGCCCTTCATATTATTTTTCTTCTTACTGGTTTTTGCATTCACTACCAGTTCAGAATCATCTGACTCTAACCCTGCAGACTGGACTTTACTAGACGCCATTCCACTCCCCAGTAGGATACATTACATGTAGTTATTTCACTGGTTCCTCAATCAGCTTTCAGTGCAAGTGGCACTGTTTGGATAAATGCCAATTTGAATGAATTTTTAATAATTTTCATTAATGTTATTTTAATGTTATTAATGGAATAATTTGCATTAATGTTATTGTCTTCACTCACTGTCTTATAATGCTGTCAAAAATTGAACACTTAATCCATGCTTCTCTTTTAGAATGAAGGGCGTGTTTTTCATCTGCATTCTGAGTTTGTGATTTCAGTGAAATACAATGAACTGAACTGAACCCAAGAATTTTGAAAGCAGGTACTATTCCTTATCAATTCTGCCTAAGGAAAATAGAATACTGGCTTTTTTCTGACTCAAAATAGTCTTAAGATTATTTCATTCTAATTATTTCTCTGTTAGATTGTTAAGTAGCACTACAGTGTAGAAATATTGAGAGGATTAAATGTGTTAATAATTAGTACAAAATGTTATAGTGAATGTCAATAATATAACAGGTATCCAGGTTGTAGCCATATTGGTCTAGAGGAAAAGGCAACCAGGACTTCTAGTAGAGAGGATATCTTTTATTAGACCAACAAGATTTTTGCAAAAAAAAATTCTTTAGTTGCAAGCTTTTGGGCACAAACACCCTTCATCAGGCGTTGGAGAAAAGATTGTAAAAGTTCTGGGAAGACATGAAAGTTCATGTTTCATAGGATTTCACAGAGGAGTCGATAGATGGAAAACTCCTTTGGGCAGTCAGTTCATAGCTGGTATGGAGCCTCTCGCCTCCTGTGAGGATCTGTGATGATGCAAATTACCTTGATATAACAGACACTTAAGAGGCAGAAGAGGCCTTCTAGCTCCTATTTTTTTATCCCTGGCCATTTCAGGTTCATCCTATTACTCTGATGTATGCATCTTCTGAAAATCAAAATCAGCTCCTCTCCTTCTTGGCATTTATTCTTTTTCAGATAGGTATTACATTACCTTCAGTAGTCAGACTGTCCATATAATATATAAATATCCATGCATACTCTTACGTCAGCCTCTTCTGCCCAATAAAAACTTTATCTTAAAAATGTACACAGTCAATGATATATACGACCTACCTGTTTTTATTCAGAGCCTCTGTAATCAGCTGTGGATGTGCAGGACAATGAATTCTTTTTTCACTGGCTTCCTCTCGTATTTTCTGATAGACTATGATGACATAGTCTGTAGGGATTGTTACTCCAGCTGGGTCCTGCTGCCTGCCTGGTTTGTAGGTTATTTTAACGTATCACTGCTCTCTAGAATCAACATCCAGGCTCAGAGCTCATTGTCTTTTTTTCCCACTCCTTGCAGTTTTAAAATGCTTTCATGTATTTTGTGCTGATAAAAAGTCCTTGATTGGCAGGGATAGATCAAAAGGTCTTCTGTTTTTAAGGTAGAAGTATAGCAGCAATCCATATACATTTAGCGCAAGTCCCACCAAAATATTTATAAAATATGTATTCTATATATTTCATTGCTTTGCAAACATGTTGTTTAATTGTTACTCTAAACATATGAATTATGGAAGAAAAGTGATGAGCAATCTAAAACAAACAGAAAAGTATATACCTCAGGAAAGGTAAGCCCTCAGCACACCAGGGTGAGATGCAGTCACATGGCTAGACAGACCTTTCTCAAGTTAAATGGGTGTGTACTAAGGATAAACACATGCACTAACAGAGACATAAATATATATCTTCAGTCTTGATTTTCCTCTGAACACTGAGCCATCGTCCCAATACAAAATCAATCCACAAAATTCCCCTTAATTTCAGAGTTATGTGCATGCTGGAATGTAAAACCAAAGAAAATTCTGAGGATAGAACCACTAATTTTCTTCAACTGTTTTTTAAATTTGAAAGTTTCCCATTCAAGAGCTTACCAGGGTCACCTAACTTAGATTGTAAGATATGAGGGCATCATCACCCTATTGGTCCCTTTACATTTGAGATTGATTTGGAAAGACCTTCACCAAAACTTTGTTCCCTCTACATATTCCTTCAGTTTCTGCTGAGCTTCCTGCCAAATTCAGATCTTCAACACTGTTTGTGAGGGCTCTGATCAGTGCCAAGCCTTCTGGCATATAGTGTTTATACTATAGTTCAGAACATGAATGACAATTATTAACAGGAAATAAACCATTGTTCCTCAATATAAATTTTAAAATGTCATATTTTTAAGAATTTTAAACATTATTTGATATTTAAGTAATGTCTTATAGTTGGTAAATCCTACAATCCTGTACCTGAAATGTTTCTTGGTCTTCATTTTCTTACTGATAATTATCTTACTCAAGAACATAAGACACTTCAGGCCTTCTTCTATGGAAATCAGTAGGAATTTTGTCATTGAGTTCAATGGAAGCAGAAATGAGTAATTTACTCATGAGTAAATGATGCCAGGCAGGCATCTACATGTGCAGGGAAGCAGCAGCAGATTTGCTGCCAAACTGCTGCTACTTCCTGGGGTCCTGCCGTGGGGTCCTGCCACCACCAGGGGAGCTCCAGGCTTTGGTTGCAACTGGCAGCCCTTTTCAAAAGCCAGGGCCACATGCTGCTCTGTGGCCAGACCCTTCCTTGGCCAGGAGTAGCGTGCCCAGCACAGTAACAGCACATGGCAGCACTGTCCTGGACACTTGTGCCTCCCCACGCCATGATTGTTCCAGCCCCTTCCCCTGGCAGCAATAACCAGCACTCCCGTTGGCCTCTGGGCTGGCCCTGCTGGCCCACCGCATCAACTGCCACCTGGCTCATGGCTGTCTGGGCCCTCCCGGCTCCCCTGTGTCCAGCAACCACCTCCCGCCTGCTGCATACTATCCCAGGGCCGTTGCTGCACACCTGCTGCCTCAATCTGTCTGCCTGCCTTAGACCGCAGCAGTGACACTGACAACGGGATCCAGAATGCAACTGCTGGGACCACTGTTGCCTGCCTGGGTGTCCAGTCATGCCACTTCTGGGCCCTCTGGGCCAACCAGGACTGGTGGCTGCATGTCGTCCAGCATACCTGGGATGACAAGCAGTGTCTGGAGGCATTCTGAATGACCTGGGACACCTTCCAGGATCTCCTGGAGCAGTTCCAGTCACACCTGAAGTAACAGGACCTCACCATGTGCTCGCTCCTCCCTGCAGACACCCAGCTGGCCCTCACCCTGCTGAAGCTGGCCATGCCCACCAGCCTCTGTACATCGGCAACCTGTTCGGCGTGGGCAAGGCCACCACTGGGAAGGCAGTCCTGGAGGTGTGTGGCACCCTTCAGGATGTGCTGGTAGACACCATGCTCCATGTGCGCGACCCCCTGGCAGTGATGGCCGTGTTCTGTGCCCTGGGATTCCCCCAGTGAATTGGGACCCTGGACAGGACCCACATCCCCATCACCTGCCTGCCCCACAAAGATTGTCCCTATTACAGCCGGGGGGAGCTTTCGCTCCATGGTGCTGCAGGCAGGCTGTTGCGGACCACTGCAGGGCCTTCATGTATGTGAGCGCCAGCTGGGTAGGCAGCACTTACAATGTCTGTTTCTTTAGGAACTCTGGCCTGCCAGCTCTGGAGCACAGCAGCCGCTTCACACCAGGGGTGCTGGACCTGCAGCTGGGTGCCATGGCAGTCCCACCCCTGCTCATCAGGGACCCCACCTACCCACTCTTGCTCTGGTTCATGCACCCCTACACTAGCCAGCTAGACCTCTGCCAGGCCCACTTTAACCACAGCTTGGACTGGACCCACACCCTGGTGGAGTGCACCTTTGGCCACCTCAAGAGCCACTGGTGCACCCTCACTGCCCACCTCAGATTCACTGAGAACAATCTCTCCCGGGTCATCTTCGCAGTCTGAGTGCTACATAACATCTGTGAGGCCCAGGGTGAGCTCTTCCATGAGGCCTGGACAGAGGAGGCACAGTGGGCAGAGGACATGTGGAGGTGGGAGCGCTACCTGCGGCAACAGCAACAGTGGCAGCCCCTTCCCCCCCAAGGTGCAGAAAAGCTGTGCATCTGCCACTGGGGGCCAGGTCACTGGGTGTGTGAGGCACCGGCGGACCACCTCCTCCAGCACTCCCTGTTCTATTCCACCCTGCACCACTGCTCACCCGCAGCACCACGCTCACTGCAGTCACGTCTCAGAAGAACAAGTCTTTATTTCCCTCACATCAACCAGAGCTCCCCTCCCTCCCCAACAAACAGAACCCCTCCATCACCTACCAACAATAAAATGTCTTCTTCCCCATGAAAACTATGTACACTGTACTTTATGTGCCATCCTAAGGTGGGGGGGCATGGGGTGGGGGTGCCTAGGCAGCAAAACCCAGGGACAGGCGGCCAGCACCTGGGCCTCTGGCCATTCTTCTATGGGTGCACAGGCCATGGCACATGAGGTGGGTGGGGGGCTCACCCAGGGGAGATGACAGCCAGTGCTCCTCTGGCATGGGTGGCTCCCTCTCCACCAAGCGCTGTCAACAGCCACCAAGGCTGGCATGCAGTCCTGGCCCTGCTGCAGGCAGCTCTGGCTCTGTGCCTGCATAGAGCCAGGGCGAGTAGCGGACCTGGGCCCAGGCAGGGGCGCTGGGCCAGGGGCTCCTGACTGCTGAAGGTACCACAGGACCTCCTCACAGACCCAAGCAGGGGCCTGCAGCTGGGCAGCAGGTGGCTGCCAGGGGGCAGGTGGGGCTAGGGTCAGGGACTGGGCAGCAGGTGGCATGAAGGCAACTGCCAGAGTGTGACAGGGGTGAGCTTTCACGCTCACATAGCCACCAGTCATGCCAGCCCCAGCCATGTGCACTGGGGCAAGGGCCCTCCCCGCCCCTGCCCTCCGCCCCTGCCCACACTCCCCTGGGTTCCCCTCCAAAGCATGCAGAGAGGTGTGAGAGTGCTAAACTTTATTTAGGAGCCTGTTTCCCCACAGCTACATGGGCGTGGGCCTCTCACGTGCTGAGGATTGATGCTGATGGTGGGCAGCAGGGAGCAGGTATATGTAGTGCAGCCACATGTAGCCCTCCATGTGGCGGCGGAGGTTGTGGGGCAGTGTCCTCAGACACAGGGCAGAGACACAGGGGGCAGTGTCCTCAGACAGCAGGGACGGTGAGCTGGCATCTGGTCAGGGCCCCTCCAGGGAGGAGCTGCCCCTCATGGCAAGGCCTAGGGCTGTGGAGCTGGTGTGGCAGGTGCTGGCCCAGGCTCCCTGAGCTGCTGGTAGGAGCTGCAGCCAGGGAGCTCAGCAGGATGAGTGGCTGTAGGCCTGAGCGGCCCTCCCCCAGTGACGTGTCAGCAGGGGTGGCAGCCTGGGGCAGTAGCCCAGGTAGGCCACCCCTGCCGCTGTAGACAGCATACCTGTGGCCTGGATCCTGAGGTGCAAGGATCTCCATCAGTTGCTGCATAAAGGGCATGTACTTATGGGCACTCCCTGACTGACAGTTGTGGTTGTTGATGGCCACCCACTGTCCCTGCAAGGCCTTGATCTTTATGTGGCACTGCTGTGCCAACTGGTTGTGCCCACTCTCCCGCATCCAGACCCTACAGCGCATCATAAACATGGGTGTTGGACCACCCTTCCCACTCAGACTGGTGCTGCACTTCTGTCTCACCTTACAGTGCCACAAGGTCACCAGTCTTCTGCGACCAGTTGGGGCCCTGGGTGGTAGGCATGGGTGCAGGCATGGGCGTGGGTGAGGAGGATTCCATGGGGGGGTCCCGCGTTGGCTCTATGGGTCACCATGCAGCTGTCCCTGTGCTGCCAGGCCTGGACAGTGTCCTGCAGCCACACAGCTGAGGCACTGCCCCACAGGACCTACAGGCTTAGGGCAGGCTGCTGAGGGTGGACTGCAGGCAGGTGGCGCTGGCCCTGGCATCCAGAAGCAGCCTGCAGCTGGACCTGGATGCTAGCAGGCCTGGCTGGAGCCTACAGCACCCTGCAGCAGGCTGCAGCACCCTGCTGGCCTGGACGGCACAGGCCAGGCAGGCATGCGGCACTGAGGTGCCAAGCAGTGATGCCAGGGGGCTAGCAGGCTGGTGCAACTAGCCTGCAGCCTGTCCAAGTGGACACAGGGACCTGGAGTTCTCTCAGGCTCACTGCTGGTGTGCCCCAGGGCTCAAAATGCCTGCAGGCTTTTAAAGGCCTGTGGCAGGGGCTGCCATAGAGGCAGCCCAGCCCTGGAGCAGGAGAGGCT